TCAAGATGAGATAGAAGTGCTGAGATGAGACAAAGGACTTGAAGGTGTAACAGCCAAAGTTCAGTAGCGGTCCCAGAAAACGATGCGTAGCTGCGGCGATAACGAGGCACTGGCGATGAGGAATCAGCGCATGCAGAGGTTGCTGCTGTACGAGTGACAGGTTGATCCCGCGAGGAAGCTGTGAAGGTGCAATCTTCCCTTCCAGAATGAGGAGTACGCGAGACAACTAGCGCAGCCGCGGACGACGCGCAAAGCGAGGTGGAGGGGACGACGTAAAAAGCCGGCTCTACACAGCGGACGTGCACTGCAGTGGGACGGCCCTCACGAATGAACCCCAAAATTAAGCAGGGCAGACCGTCGAGCGGGGAAAACACAGCCGCGATTGCGTTGGCGAACGACCAAAAAGCATTCATGGCAAAGAAAAATAAAATAAAAAACAGAGCGTCAAAGCTACTAAAGTTAGTAAAGTGCGCCGGTACACCGAACGCACCCGAAGTGCAACCATTTCTTCGGCGCCCGGAGGGACACGAAAGCCGAAAGCGCCGGTCAGGCAAGCCTGGTTTCCGATAAAACCGAGGGTGAATCACTCAGCGGTCTGTTGTACACATGAGTACATGAGTACGGGTGAGTACACCTTGCTTTACTCATAAATTTCACAATTTTAAACGTTTTTAGGCTTTATTTAGCGTTAGTAACGGCACCCGACGTTAAATCGGTCGAAAAACTAGAGAATTTCACCTATTTAAAACTTGTGAGTACACTGAGTACGGGCACACATGAGTACACTAGTGATTCACCCCTCGGATAAAACCACACCGCAGCGAGAGGAGGAAGTCCCATAGCAGGGCGAGAGCCGGCCGAGGCTGCCTGCTTGCAGCGTAGGGGCAGAGCGCGGAGGGGAGGGTGCAAGGGGGAATCACTGTGAATTTCGGTGTACAAATCTAATAATTCTTAGTCAAATTTCGCTGACTTTCATTCGAAATTTCAATGAATCTCAGTTGAATTTCGGAGAATTTCAGAACTTTTACATTTAGATTATTAATTCGGCAAATCTTTTCCCTCCGATGTGGAATGAAGTTAGTTGGCGTGAACGTAGTCAATCAAACAATAGGCTACAAGCATGAAGTGAAATCGAAAGAAAGATTGATCGATTCCTCGCCTTGTTGAGCGCACTCGTTCATCCCAGGTGAAAATCAAACGGGTAGTCGCACAGCACCAACGCCAGCCGGCAGCGAGCGAGGGCGGCAGGCGGGCACGCGAGGACGCACGCAGAAAGAGCGAAGAACTTTGGTGAAATTTTAGAAGAAAATCACGATTTCGTACCCCGAGACTCGCACTGACAGGTCGCGAACCCAGCCGCGTAGCGGGCTGCTGCAGCGCTCACTCCTCCAGGACAAACAAGATCGCCTTTGTCACAGTGGTGACAAACACCGTCGGCCGGGATGGCCGACGCGCGCCTCGCTTCTACTCAATTCAAACATTGACGCAAATAAAATAATAATAATAAAAAAAAGGTCCGCTTTGAACGGGATTCGAACCCGTGACCCGTCGCAGCGTCAGGTGTCATAGACCGGGCTGGGCGGGGCTGGGCGGGGCGGGAAAACTATCCCTTCACCAGCACGAGGACCGGCGGGCGTGAAGGACGCGCCGAGAATGGAAAAGCCGGCCCCGAGAACGGAAAAGCCAGCCCCTTCACCCTGCATGCGTGGTAGGCAGGCAGGCCCGCGTGGACGCGCGCGAAAAGGGTGATGAACTTTGGCGAAATTTTTAGGGGAAATCAGGATTTCGCACCCCGGGACTCGCTCTGAAAGGCCGCGCTCGCTGCCGCGTAGCGCGCCACTGCAGCACTCAGTCCTCCGGGGACAAGCAAGTTCGCCTTCGTCACTAGCGTGACAAAGACCGCCGGCCGAGACGGCCGACGCGCGCCTTGCTTCTACTCAGCTCATACATTAAACCAAATGAAAAATAAATAAATAAATGAAGATCCGCTTCGAACGGGAATCGAACCCGCGATGCGTCGCGGCGACAGGTGCCAAGGGCGGGGCGGGAAGGACGCGCCGAGAGCGGAAAAAGCCTGCCCCTTCACTCCGCAAGCGGGGGCGGCAGGCAGGCCCGCGTGGACGCGCGCGCGGAAAGGGCATTGAACTTTGGCAAAATTTTTAGGGGAAATCAGGATTTCAAACCCCGGGACTCGCCCTGACAGGCCGCGCACGCTGCCGCGTAGCGCGCCACTGCAGCGCTCAGTCCTCCGGGACAAACAAGACCGCCTTCGTCACTAGCGTGACAAAGACCGCCGGCCGAGACGGTCGGCGCGCGCCTCGCTTCTACTCAGCTCATACATTAAACCAAATGAAAAATAAATAAATAAAAGAAGATCCGCTTCGAACGGGAATCGAACCCGCGACACGCAGCGGCGGCAGGTGCCATTGACCGGGCGGGGCGGGGCAGGGCTGCAGAGCCGAGCCAGCCGGGATACTCCCACACTGCACCTTTCACCCGCCCACGCGCCCCGCCAGTGACCCGCAGCCCCGAACGCATGTGACGCAGAGCCCCAGATTAGTGACGGAGAGCCCCCCATACTACTGGGCAGCACACAGTGGGACAGAAAGGTGAAAAACGGGAAAAAAATAATTGAGTACGGTTCTTTATTAAACCGACCATGCTGATTTCGAAAATGAAACCCATTTTGAAACCCGGGTTCAAACCATGCAGGTTTCGTGACACTGAAAAAATTCCATTGCAGATAGAAAGATGCGGATTTCAAATTTAGATTTCTCATGAAAAATTGAGTCAGAAACCGTCGGAAAATATTTCGGATTAAAGGTTTGATACCCGGAAACCCGCCCAAAACCCCAAATTATGACAAAAATCCTGGGTTTCATTAAATTATCTAAAATTCCACATGAGATAGAAGGATGCGGTTTTCAAATTCGGATTCCTCATGAAAAATTGAGTCAGGAACCGTCGGAAAATATACCGGATTCAAGGTTTGAAACCCGGAAACCCGCCAAAAACCCCAAATTATGACGAAAATCCTAAGTTTTAAAAGAATATTTAAAATTCCACATGAGATAGAAGGATGCGGTTTTCAAATTCGGATTTCTTATGAAAAATTTAGTCAGGAACCGTCGGAAAATATACCGGATTCAAGGTTTGAAACCCAGAAACCCGCCAAAAACCTCAAATTTGGACTAAAATCCTGGGTTTCATAATATAATCTAAAATTCCACATGAGATAGAAGGATGCAACTTTCAAATTCGGATTCCTCATGAAAAACTGAGTCACGAACCGTCGGAAAATATACCGGATTCAAGGTTAAAAACCAAAAAACCCGCCAAAAACCCAAAATTTTGACAAAATCCGGTTTTATAATATGATCTAAAATTCCACATGAGATAGAAGGATGCGGTTTTCAAATTCGGATTCCTCAAAAAAAACTTAGTCAGGAACCGTCGGAAAATATGCCGGATTCAAGGTTTGAATCCCAGAAACCCGCCAAAAACATGCAGATAATTTTTAAACTTTGATGTTTTTGGCGCGTTTCTGGATTTCAAACATAATCCCGTATATTTTCGACAGTTCCTGACTCAGTTTTTCATGAGGAATCCGAATTTGAACCAACAGCCTTCTATCTCATGTGGAATTTTAGATAATATTGTTGTGAAATACAGTCTAAAGATTCCTAACCATATCTGGTCACTTGCATGCAAGCCGCCATCTTAACCCAAACACACTCCGTTCCATTCCTATACTATTGGCCTAGAGAGCTCCCTGCCAAGGACTCCTAGAACTGGTCACTCACGGTCCTGTTGGTTTACGAACGTACCCTCAAACTATAAAAGCAGCCGCTCAGCAGAGCCGGCATGCAGTCTGTCGCCTAGTGTTGACCCTGATACGTCTTACAATAAACCAGTGATACCTGAACATCTCTACCATTCCTTAAGCCCTTGCACACACTACAAGTGGTGACAGCGGTGCACGGTTCGGTAGCTCTGTTCGGGTACCTCAGAT